GTGTGTGTGTGTGTGTGTGTGTGTGTGTGTGTGTATCAGGAGTGTATCTAAAGTTACCAGAAAGTGAACTCTTTATAGCCAGTAGGACTATGAATTATTAAATTATTATGTGTAGAGCATACATTACAAACATAATGAATGTAAAGAATTTTAAACCTTTGACAAGTTTCTGGGTGTGAAATATGACTGCATCAGCAGTACATACTGAAAATATTTTAAACACTGTTGAAAAGTACAATAATCCATTAATGCTATGGTTTGAGTATTTATTTTCTTTCAAATTTCATGTTGACACTTAAATCTATAATGCAATATTTTCCAAATTGGATGTTTTAGAAGATGGTTAGATATTGAAGATTTCCCACTCATTAATTGGATTAAGGCCTGAGGCAACATGGGTGTTGCCCTCATGTTTTATTTGCCCTCCTGTCTTTCACCGTGTAAGGACACAGCAACAATATTTGAAAACAGTTACCTCACCATTGCTTGACACCTAATCTTGTCACCATTACTTGTCACCTTGATCTAGAACTTTCTAACCTTCCAAAGCTGTGAGAAAATCAGTCTATTTCCTTTAGGAATAATCTTTACCGACTTTCAAACACTTTATTATACTAGCATGTATCACAGTATTTCAAGTGTATTAGTTCTCAAACTCTTGATGCTGCTGATATATTAAGAACATGTAAAAAATCTTTAAACAAAAATCACAACTTAAATGTCACACTTTTACCCTTTCCTTGTCAACACAGATAAAGTTGAACATTGGCTTTTAAATATCTAGGTACTTTTATGTCACTCTCTACACAAAAATTCTAAAATTGTATTTACTCAACTATATCTCAACTCTTGTAACCAGTTTTAAATGTGTAACTATTATTGTTTTCACCTCATTATGACAAGTATTCATAATCTTTTATAGTGAAATATTGACAGGTTATAAGAGTTCTGAAAATACAACCTAAACAAACCTGGCAAGGAACAAATAACAGTACTGAGGCATGTTCTTCATTTTCCTTTAATAATTTAGTTGAATTGCCTGACTTCCATTTAGAAAGTTAGGAAGGGCATTGCTATAACTAAACTAACAGTAACAAGCACAGAGATAAATGCTGGACGCACAACAAAACAATAACTCCTATTGACTCCTTTATTGACTTGAATTTGTAAGAGAAAGTAAGAAATTTAAACATAAGCAAAAATAGGAAATTTAAATTTAAGGGTGTTAATTTTTTATCTAGAATGACCCCCAAAACTCTCTTGTGCTCAGAGGAGGGGCTGTGAAAGGTGATTGGATTATGAGGTGGCTATAGCTGACTTGCTGTTAAGAGGAGGCGTCTGGTTGGAGGCCGATCATGGGGTGTAACCTAGAAGGCTGCAACCCTCATCCCTGCTCCACAAAACTCCTCCACCTCTTGTCTGCCATGATGCAAGCAGCTTTCTTCTGCCCAGGCCATTCCACCAGGCTGTTCCTGCAACACATGCACTGAAGCTTTGGAGATATGAGCCCAAATAAACCTCTCGCTTCTATGTTTCAAGTACCCAGTGTTTTCTCTCAATGTAACCAAGACAAAGGCACTGTAGGAGCATTTAAGGAAAGTATCTATAATTACTGTTTCTCAGTATGAAGAGCACAATGGGGCAAATGCCTCATTGATTAAGAACTCAGGTATTGTTTTTGTTAAATCGCTAAAGAATCAATTTGTCAGAATACAAATCTCCTGAGCAACACATATAAAAGGTTATCTCTCATTCCAATAGTCTTCCCATGGATCGTGACTGAGTATTCACAGGGAAGATTGGAGCTGAGCAACAGTGAACATTTGGAAGACCTAAACAATTGTATCATCTAACTTGAACTACCTTACATTTATAAAACACTACTCTGTATAACAGAAAATATACATATTTTATCAAGTGCACATAAAACTTTCCACATGGGAGTGGATAAGAGCACTATAAAACAAACTTTATTACATTTTCAGTATTTTAAATCATATAGTCTAATCACTGACACTAACAAAATTGAATTAGAATCATAAACATAGAATATATGAACTATCTATCCACAAGTATCTGGAAATTGAAGAGCAGATTTCTTAGTAGTCCACATATCAAAGAAGTAGCCACCAGGAGGGCCGGGGATTTAGCTCAGTGGTTCCAGTGCCTGCCTCACAAGCGCAGGGTCCCGAGTTTGATCCCCAGTACCAAAAAAAAAAAAAGAAAGAAAAAAAAAGAACTCAAAAATATTAGACCCCTCTTCAGCCATAAAGAACGAGAAACTAGAGACATTTATAGCTAAATGGATGCATACTGAGGCCATCGTAAGTGAAATAAATAGGACACACATGTGTAATACCAAATAGTTTCTCTAGTGTGAGAAACTGAAAGTGTAATTAAGAATACACAAGGATGAAATGGCCTAATAACATACTTCTCGGATTGTGTTTCCATCGTGTGTAATATGACTATATCAAAACTTAAATCAGGGAGAAGCTTGGGTTATGTGGAGTCTGCTAACTAACTAGCGTTTTTTTTCCAGACCACTATTTGTTCAATGTTGGTTTTGGGGATCTTCCTGAAACAAATCACATCCTCTGGTGTCTTCTTGGTGCTTGAGATGCTTTTTTAAGTTATATGGAAAAATGCTTAAGTGCTTTTCAGTTTTGTTTTGGTTCAGTTCTACTGTATTTGAATATTATTGTAGTTTTTTTCCCCTTGCATTGTTCTTCTTTGAATGGTTTTAATTTTTGTATGTGTGTGTGTTTGATAATAAAGTTATTTAAAAAAAATTAGACCCCTCAAAATTAAAAAAAAAACCCTATCAAAAAATGGGCAACTGAAATGAATAAGCACGTCAAAGAAGTACAAATGGCCAATACATGAAAACATATCCAACATCTCTGGCCATTAAAGAAATATGAATTAAAACAACACTGAGATTCCATCTTACTTCAAAAAAATATGGTTATCATCAAGAATCAAATAATAACAAATGTAGAGAGGCTGTGGGGAAAAAGTAACCCCTCTACATTGTGGGTAGGAGTATAAACTAGTATAACCACTACGGAAATCAGTATGGAGATTCTTCAAAAAACTAATAAAAATTCCATTTGGTCCAGTTATGCCTCTTCTAGGTATCTTCCTGAAAGAGTTAAAGACATATTATAGTGATACATGTACACTCATGTTTATAGTAGCATAATTCATAATAGTTAAATCTTGAAAGTGGCCTATATGTCTATCAGCAGATGAATGAATAAAGAAAATGTGGTATTTATACACAATGGAATAGTACTCTGCCAGAAAGAAGGATAAACTTGGGTCATGTGTAGGAAAATGGGAGCACCTTGAGATCATAATGGAAGTGAAATAGAAGACACATAAGCTTAAATATCACATGGTTTCTGTTACATGAGAAACCAAAAATAAAGAACAAAATAAAAGATAGACAATAGCAAATAGGGAGATAAGATCTTTTGCTAAAGGGAATAGGAAAAAGAGATAGAAGAAAGGAGGGAGAAGAAGATGAAATAAATTAAGATGTATTATGTATATGTTACCAGCTCCCCAGGAGGAATGTAATCATTACATACTGCAAACATGTACTAATAAAAAATAAAAGTTGAAATAGAAAAAAATAAGTAAAATTAAAGGAAATGCAAAAAAAGAAAAATGAAGAAAGAAGAGTAGTAGTGGTAGCATTTTAAAAGCACTGGCGAGGGAGGGGAGGAGAAGGGTATGAAAAAAAGCTGTGTTATGTACATGTACCAATTCCCTATGATAAATATAATTATGTAGTGCAAACATATACTAATAAAAATTAAACTTTACAAAAAGAAAAATAATCTGAGAATTAGAGTGATCATTGTGCAACTCTGTGAATATGTAAAAAAAACCGATTTTTTTTCCTTATTGTAAGGTACGGGGGATTGAACCAAGGGTCTTTTCAACTGAGCTATACCCCAGCCCTTTTTAAACTCTTTATGTTTTCATTTGGAGACAGGGTCTCATTAAGTTGCTAAGTTGCCCAGGTTGGGTCTGAACTGGTGATCCTCTTTCCCTTAGCCTTCCAAATAACACTGAATTTTGTGAAGCATGAATTTTATGGCATTAATTATAGCTCAAAAAAATCTCTTTCAATCACAGGAAAATTTCAGTTCTTTATTACGTTTAATGACACAAAAGACTGATTTATTTAAAGCTACAAATGGACTTCTTGCACATGCAAGGGGGAGGATGAGAAAATGGGACAGATATCCTAGAATCAGCTGGAGTAATATCATTCTATACTAGTCTAATCTTTCCATCCTGTTCTCTGGCTTCCATGGTGTTTTCTCATCTGCTAATAGAAGAGATGTTAGCCAGGTGTGGTGGTGCATGCCTGTAATCCCAGCACTCTGCGAAGCAGGAGGATTCTAAGTTTGAGCCCAGCCTTGGCAACTTAGCAAGATCTATTTTCTCAAAAGGAAAAAGAGCTGGGATGTAGGTAAGTGTAAAGGACCGAGATTCAGTCCCCAATACTGCAAAAAAGGATGAGGATGAGGATGAGGATGAGGAAGAGAAGGAAGAGGACAACAATGACGCTGGGTTTGTATATATACCCTATATCAACTTCGGTACATTAAGGCTTCAAGAATTAAAATATAGGGCTGGGGATTTAGCTCAATGGCATGGTGCCTGCCTCGCAAGCGCAAGGTCCTCAGTTTGATCCCCAGTACTGAAGGGGAAAAAACAAAACAAAACAAAACAAAATATATACA